TTTCGCTACCGAATAAATCAACTAAAACTTGTTGTTCCCAAATGCCCGTCACATCGGATCACTCTTGGTCGCCTGTGTCTCCAAAGAATCAACTATCTGACTCTCTCCAAACACACTGATCTATCGATTATGGCGATAGAATTTAATATTTTTCTGTTCATGAAGTTGAACTTGGTCGAACCAAGTGGAATCAGCTCTACTGCCTTATGGCAGTTTTATCAGCAAATTTTTATTTGCATATTATCGTTCCAGAATTGTAGTCTATCTAATTGCAAAGACTTTCCAATTTGTTGAATCTCCAAACATGCTCAAACATGCCACTTGCGGACAATGTTGGTTTTACATATATTTGTTGAGAATCACAGTGCTATAGGGACTTTCTAACCTGTCAAATCCCCAGGTATAATGATGTCCACGCCCGTGTCTGCATCTACTTGCAGCCCAACGCCTCGATAATCGAACGAACAAAATAAATCCTGTTGTTCTCAAACGGCGACACATTCGATAGTTTCTTGCATCCGCAAGGTATCACATCTAATTACAGAGACTTTCTAAGCTTTCGAACTTCTCGTCCCGATGAAGTCTATGATCGATCTGCGTTATTGCTTGCAAACAACACCGCGCGTTATCACACTTTGCCACCGCCATTCGAACGGGCTAAATTGCCCGTGAATTCACTGGAACCGTGTAAATGTTCAAAGCTGTCACTCTGTCGACCAGTGTACTCGCTTCTTACCACCCCGTACAATCAAACATTTCATTGTCAAACCGACTCGAACCTTTTTTTACAGACAATGTTGTTCTCTATCACGCTTGGTAACCCAGATCTGTCGGAAATGACAGCCCATCTAATTACAGGGACTTTCTAAACTGTCAAATCCCTCTAATGAAGTATACGGTCTGCTTCTACTTGTCGCCCGATGTCTCGCTACCGAATAAACCGAGTCAAACTTGTTTATTACTCGGATACACCTACAAAGACACTGGAGCAACGTTGATATTATCTTATTGTTAGTATAACTAAGCAGATAACCGGTTCTCTAACTTGTTGTCTATGTTGCTGTTGACCGAGCTTGGTCAAACTTCTCGTTACTTGCAAATGGCATCAGATTAGAGTTCAGCTTCCTGAACTCGCAAATCTCCAAGTTTGAAGAGGTGTGCACTATGCTCTGCTTCTCCTTAGGGTGTTATATTCTATTGATGGGTAGGTTTTTAATGAGTATTTAATTGTGGAGTTCCCAAACTTCGTCACACCGGGTCATGCACTCTCAAACATCTCTCAAATGTTTCTTCCAACGAGTCAAACTTCTTGTTACTTGCAAATGATATCAGATTAGCTTCCTGAACTCTCAAATCTCCAAGTTCTATGTTCTGCTTCTCCTTAGCGTTTCATATTCAATTGATGTCTAGGTTTTCAATGAATATTCAATCCTATTACTCTCAAATTTTGTCACACTGGAGTATGAACACTCAAACATCTCCAGTCTATTGAGAGCTATGGTCCAAACGTTTCTACCTTTGATATTCTATTTCTTCTTGCAATAGTTCTCCATCTAATCGCTTATGAACGTCAAAGCAACTAAATCCTGTTATTCTCAAACACCATTTCGTTGGATCTCCTATGCCTGAGAAGAGTAGCTATCCATCGATCTGCAGACACTCTCCAAACATTAAAATCTCTTGTCCCAGCGATCGAGCTGGGTCCAGTGGGTGAAAAACTAAACGATAAATTATCCGTGGTTCTCGATGTGGACGCGTGACGGGGACCGTATCGTCGAGCGGCTACCGATATTTATTAGGTGCATACGGGTCTGATATCCTCGTTTGTCATCCGCGCGCGCAGGTGCAACCGCGTCCCGTAAAAAAGGTGCAGCGCCGTTCCAGCTAGGCGTTGCACAAGCCGCGGTCGGTACTCTCTTACGGTGTCGCGGTCTCGCCATAGATTCAAGGTCAACGCTGATGTATACGAGGATCAGGAGTAGCTCGAGGAGAGGTCGTCGCTCGATCCTGATTAATGGCTTTCGAGATCGAGCCTACGTCGCGCCGCGGACCGCTTCGGGCCATTGGTTACGTATCGTCGCCTAAGTGCATTGACTTAAGCGAATAAACTGCCTGCCGCGGAGTCCCGTATCGCGACACCTTGCGTACCCCGGCATTCCGTGGATACCGATGGACTCCTCGCGCCCTTTATGCCTAATTATTCCAACTTTTATGTTGACGACGATTATTCCATAATTGCAGCGTTGCGTTCATAGAGAACTCCATCTCTGTATGTGATTTCTATCTGAACTGTGCAACGAGCCCCTTTTCTTTACGAGAATATGGTCGCCATCTTGTACTTTTAGTCCAGCACTGTGTACCAAAATTCGTCTGAACAGCTCTTGAGAGTGTTCCAAGTGTTTAACAGTGTCTTGATAGTTGTTCGAGCTTCATAGCTTGGAGACTTCGCTATATTCCAGTTATCATTTCACAATAAACTTGTCAAGAACAGTGGACTTATCAATATCGTTGGGGGATACAGTTAGGTCAACAATGGGGGTAAGACGTTTACCGATCGTAGAGCCCGTCTCTCTAAATAAATGTGAGCCCCGTTGGTGAAAAGTGCGCTACCATCCGACATGATTCAACCATTAACCGGGAGTTGAAGCTGCGAGGATTCTGCCTGGGGTCTTCGAAGCCCGAGCACTCGAATCGAACCGAAGGGGGATTCGGTGTTAAAGCGCGCAATTCACCGGATACTTACGGAGAAGTAACATTAATGGACACTTTCTCCCCGGTAGGACGTAAGAGGGCAACCGAGGAGTAGCCCGAACAGAGGTCGTCACTCGATCCTGATTAATGGGTTTCGGGATCTAGCGGGGCTGTAAACAGTATTAATCAGGATCGAGTTTACGGCGCGTGGTCGTGCCACGGATCGCATTAATCAGGATCCGTGCCGGCCGGCACGAAATATTCATTTAGGTACGTGTCCAACGACGGTTGTCTGCCACGGTGTATTGATTTACGACTAGCGACTTCCGAATGTCCAACACCTGGGGCCCGCCGATAAGGAAGCCGTGTGCCCCGCTATCGACGCCTAAATCGGTCTTCGACTTTACCTTTTTTTTTTCCTCCTCTTCTGCTTCTTTTCTTTCTCTTGCTCCAACGTACCCGTACACATTCATACTGAACGAGAAGTCCATTCGCGGTGGATCATACTTTTACGCGATTATAGAATTTTGCGATTACTCAATTTCGAATTTCCCGCCTTATTCTATCTGTTGGTTTTTCTCTTCCAAAAGAGAAAGTTTGCAGATGTGTCCCTTCCTTGACTCGTTTAGACAAAGTATGGGACCGATTGGGTCTGATAGAATTTTTCGTCACTGACCTTCTCATTCTGTATGTTTCTTTCGAACTGTGTAGGCGTACCTTCCAAGTGTTTCGATAAGTAGTTCAAAGTTGTATTGTCCTAATTTGTTTTTTTATTCCACCACCTATTTCCAATACTATCCCTAATACTTTCACAAGTTGCAATTGTAACGTGGAACGTGTAATTTGCTAACTCCCAAATATGGAGGCTTCGTTTTTAATCCTCCTTTTTACCATATTTTTATGTAGAGAATCATGAGTTTAGAAATATAATAGAATACGAGTTTTCGAATTAGCTATTAAATAATTGTCGGAACATATTCTCGATCAATCGTCGGTACTAAGAAATATCTAATCGCGAATGCTACTTTTTCCATCGCTCTAATGGATTCCTGAAAACTCAATATTTCCACGGCGTCTCATTAGCTAATTCAGAAGTCGATTTACTTTATGAATAATGAAATTCGAGACAGCCTCGTAATTCTTTGCCGGCTACGTGTCTATAACGTGTCTATCATAATCAATAATATACCGTCCGTTGTAACCAATGTTTTACATATCGCGTATAAAACTTGGTAGATAACGGTTTTAAAATTGATACTTTCGAACGTCCAAGGAAACGTTGTACCATTTTTCATTCTAGGCTCATAAATATGTATTAAATCGTTCTGCATGTTAACGAACGGTCGCGATCGAGAGATTTCCTTTAAGATCGTTTAAAAATCATTTCTTGTTCTCCTTGATAATGATCCTTTTATGATAATGAACGGCGGCGGCGGTGTAATGGCTATATTACGTTTCCCGTGCCGCTCGGTTTGGCAACCGGAATCGCCGATTCGTTATTCGTTAGTCCCAACGGAACCAATCGACATCGATCCATCAAATCAAAACTGAATCGATTGCAAGCGTTAAAAAACACTAAAACTACCGAAGCAGTCAAAATCATACGTTAGTAATTTCTAATAAAACTTGTCTAAATATTTACTAAATTTCTAAAAATTTAATTTTCTATCAGAGAATGATTAAACATTTCTATTGCATTGTACATTTATTCGAGTATCTGTTTTAATTTCTTTGGTACCGTGGGGTCCTATGGTCTCCTGTACTCGCCACCAGAGGGCTACGCTCTTGTCTCTCTCGCTAGCGCTCGACCAACTATCCGATATCAACAGGACTCCAGAGGATAAATAAATATACTATAATTGTCGGTAGTTCTAGTGTTCGAGGCTAGCCAAAAAATGGGCCAGATTTATAGCAGAGTATATAGCGTCCAGACGATTCCATATCGAAAAAGGCAGCTTCCGACATGGTGAATCGGTCCCCGAGAACCTTCGTCTTCCCATTGCGGAGGAACGATCGGGGATGTCTGCCATTCCGGCGCAATTTTACAGCTGTCCTTCGCGAACGGATGGAGTTGACGTCCCGTCGTGGTCGTTTTCTCGGCCGTTGGTTGCCTACCGTGGCGAATCGATTTCACGAGAAGCGTGCCAGCAGATCCCAACAATGTTGCCCGCGACACGCAAACGGGCCCGGTTTCACGCGTTCGTACGTTTCGCCGGGACCCGGGGAATTCGGTCGGGGCGATATTCGATCGTCCCCGCGACTCCTTCGGAGCTTCGAGCTATTTATAGGCACACGACTGTATTACTTACGAACAAACGATGGTCCAATGAAATCCTCCAGCCTCGACGATCGGCTTTTCCAAACGCTGGGACGATAGACCAAGTCACCAAAATGGCGGACGCTGGAGGCCTTTGAATGCCTGAAACTAGACAAAGGACATGGTTACTTGACGTACGATTCAAACGTATAATATTTAACCTTACGTCAGGTGCTCCTTTGTCGAGTCCCGCTCGACATTTTTTCAAGTTCAAGCCAATAGAATTCAATTTCATTTTCGTACATTTTGAAAGAAAGCTTTGTGCAGTTCAAGAGATATCATACACTTGAAAATTACAAAATACAACATCAGTGTAAATTAAGCAGATATTTGATCGAATTTGTTTGTTCCTCTATTTGTTAAAACACTTAAAAGCTGCTGGTAACAAAATTGAAATATAATTTGGAATGCAAGGGGTTAAGGAATAGACAAGGTGAATACAAAAATGTGTTGATTTTAATGTTCAAGACTCGACGCGATCGTTCGCTAATTTGCAACAGTAAAGGTTTGGACTATTCAGCGATATCGTAATTCTTCAGTAATTCGTAATTCAAAACTGCCAAAGAGTCCTGGGACTCGGCGACAAAGGGGTCGAGTGTGAATTACGGGCCAGTGGCAGGCAACAGGCCCAAGAGCGGAACACGGGGAAACGTAACGAGCCGAACGGGCTTAGAAAAAAGTCACTCCGCTCGAAGCGTATGGTAATAACGACGAGGAATAGGCCGGTGGAATAGAGATATCAGTGAAAGCCGATCGGTCGCCGGGCCGATTATCGTTACCCGGTGCACCGATGTGTCCGGGAGTCATTGTTTTCGCAACGTGTAATCGCGGAAGCGAAAAATCCGCGATCTTTTCGCGGTCCAGCGGCCCCGGCGTTGGGAAATCTCCGTCGATCGCGGGGGATTATCGAAAGGGGATATCCAGCTGCGCGATTCTTCGGGGTTCCTCGACGCGAACGGCTACGCCCGGACGAAAGTGACATAATTCACTTTCGGATGACAGTAATCTCGAGAGATCTCGAGAAACCCGGCCTTGGGAAACCTGGCAATCCCGACGAGGTTAATTCGCTGGACCGTTCGACTCCATTACGCTTCGAAATGTTTGCTGGAGATCGAATTCGCAAGTTCGAGGTGTTCCGGTTGGAAACGTCTTCTCTTATGCTCGACTCTGGTTGGCTCTGTATCTCGAGAATAGTTTATCAGAAAGTTAGAATACTTGATACATCAAAATAAAGTCAGAATACATACATTCTCCAGAGTTAGTTGCAATAATCTTCAATGCTACTTCAAACTAATAAAAACTGATTTACCCAATGGAATCACCTTCTATATCAATATCTATCACCAGCATTCCAGCCTACAATATTATTCAATCGAGGTTAATTGACTTGAATTTTCAAGGAAACAACCGTCACCCAAGATTGAAAAAATAATCGCCCAAAGCGAGAGTCTCGATTTTTCTTCCGCGTTTCTTGCGTTGGTCCCGAAAATCCACAGAAACGTTTCGAACAAAGAACCGTCTCTGAACGTGTACCAAAGAGTTAGCGGAGGTTCAAGGAGGTGCGAATTCTCGGGTCGGAGATGTTCCGCCGGCAAACAAAACGGCCAGCACACCGGCGACTTTGAGGGTGGCAGTTTAATTTCGCGCGACGACTGTAAAACCGCGCCGACTCGCCATTGCAGCGGCCCTTCGAACGTCGGAGAAAGGTGGTAGTTAACGGGCTGGCAAGCTGGCAGTTCCATTTTGGTACCCGAGGGTTGATACGCGACACGGCGCCGTGATCGTACCCGAAAGGGGACCGGGTTTAACAGCCCGGTGACCTCCGCCCGTAGATCACTTAGGAAGAAGTCCTGGCCGCAGCCTGACCTTCGCGATATTAATGAAACGTCTCCGCGGCGACGCGAATTGCCCGCGCTGAGTCACCCGGGGGCCCTCGGCGTCTGGGCCAGGCCCGCATTTCTGGGCCCCTCCGTCACCACGAATCGCGTTCAAGGGGGATTCTCGGGTAACAGAATCAAAATTTCGAGTGAAAGTTTAGGAAACTCTATTCTACTAGACTTTTAGAGAGACCCTCAGACTATACGAAAATATGTTTTTTAGTCGTTACTGTCTTTTATTTAAATTGTCAAGTCTTTAACCATAGGTGGTGTAACTTCATTTCATTCCATTAATTCTGTTAATAAAAATATGAATTTGCGTAGAGATCCACAGTCTAATGATATTAGACTTTCCACAGAGGAGAAGAAATTGATTCTCAACGGGTTGAGGAAAATAGATCGGGGGATTTATGAATTTCGAGGATGTTTTAGAAATGAAATATACTTTTATTGTTCTTATGGAAATTTCTTGGGTAATATTGGGTGAAAAATTCCGAAAAGATTGCAAGAACTATTATACAGTTTCTTATATGGGAGTAGTTAGGGTTTAGAAAGTTCAAGATCGTTAGGACACGTTGACTGTCATGGTGGTCACCGGTGACCGGCGTTTTCAAAACACTTACAATAAATAAATAAAATACTACAAATTAACAACTACCCCATTAAACTATATATAATTTAAAAAAATATCTAGAATATCCCTAAACAGTAAAAATTGATATAGCCAATCAACGTGATGATATTTGCCTTTGAATCTGTATTTTTTAAATTTAGAATGACCCTGTTCTATAATTCTGTTATTCCACAGTTTATTGCCAAACATTATACAGCCCATTTATCTTATCTTTGAGCGCATCATAGATGAAAGGAGTTTACGAATGGGAGAAATGGTGTTCGAATGTTTGGGAAGCATCGTGGAGGTTTGTTCGGAATTGGAAGCGCGGAGGACCAGGCACGATGAGTGAAAGAACTCGATGTCGAGGAAGGCGTTACGGTAGGCAATCGCTTAGAAATCCGCCGGAACATGGCCACGCCAACAATGGAACATTGTACGCTAATGTCGCGCTCGGACATAATTACGTACGAGATATCGAGATATCTCGCTTCATGCGTGGGTGAAAATCGTGTCATTAGTCAGTCGGTACCGGCACGCCATTAGACACGGTCCGTTAATTGCAGAAACCGACGCAGGCTGCGACACTGTCCGCGGATGATCCTCTTGGATCGTCTCGATCGAGATGATCCCCAATCAATCGGATCGAAACTTCCGCTACGACACCCACTACTGGCAAATTTCCCCTCAATTTTTGTTTACGTTTTCATTCACACTGAAATGAACTTTAACCTCATATATTAAAATCAACACACTTTTATAATCAGGAGATATTTTTTAAAAAATCTATTCTTTCTCGTGGCCATTCCTTGTACGAACGAAATTAAATACTACGCTTCTAAAAGATTATTTGGAATTAAATCGTACGTGAAGAGAGGTTAAAACTGATGCAAGAAAAACAAAAATGGCGGATAACGCCAATGGAAGACTTTTAACTCGACCACGTGCTAAATATACGAATAATTATGAATAAATCTTTTAATACGACTAAAGGGTACTCGATATAATTATTACTAGAGTGTGGATCTTTATGCAAATTCACATTTTTATTAATAGAATTAATGAAACGGAAGCTTCGCAGAGGGCTGTCTGAACCCTTAAATATAATAATTCGTATCTTACTTTAAGTATTTCTTATATTTTTGCATATTAAATGCATTCTGTAGTTTGTTGAGGATTAAAATTTCCCATAAATGCATAAAAATCCGCAGTCTAATTATTACCAATTTCAAAATTGAAAGGGGTAATATAGAATCGAATAATTCCGACATAAAAGGTTCGACGCACCCCGTGAGTCGTTAAAGAGAATAAAATTTTGCCATAATCTGCTCCGTCCCGCGCCATTCCCCGACAAATTTGAATAAAACCAATTTTACGAGATTCCACGGCCAGATTTACCGTCGTCCATTTTATCCGGCCCGACGCTCGTTATTTATTTACCGGCCGGCTTAACTTTTCGCGAACATTTCCAAACGATTTAATCCATTCGGGATGATTTACGGGCCCGGTGGCCGGAGATTTTCGGATTTATAGATCCTCTGTTTTTCCCCGGATCGCGACGGGGAAAATGAAGTCGGGTGGCGCAAATTGAGGATCCGCGCGCCGAGGCTTGCTAAATTCTTGGCAGAGAACGGGGCAGAGACGTATGATACCGATGATTCATAGAAATGGGTTAGGAGTTAATGGTTCGGCTCGCCCGGGTGACACGACTCGACGGAATCCGTGCGATATAACACGTGGTTGACAATCAAACCACGAGTTTAAATTTAATCCGCCATTTTCCGACGTACGGACCACTCTGGCTGCTTGGAACACTGGTTTTCCTCTTGGCTCTACCGAACTCGTGATTTATCGCGCGCTAAATCCATTCAAACGCTGGAAAACGCAAGCGAACGTGGCTTAGAAAATACTCTTGTTACGCTCGTATCTGTTAGAAAACAGCTCCTAGTGAAATATCGCCCTCGAACAGAATCTTTCTCAGGCTTGGGACGAAATAAAGTGTTTGAAAAATGATCGTTAAAATGGGATATTATATTCCTCGGTTGGACGTTGTTTAAAATAATCGCGCGTTGAGTTATTCGATTTTTCTGTAGATTATTTCGTTGCCTGGCTCTTAAACTATATACTTTCTCGAGTATTTCTCTGCGATTCTGTTGCACGTTACCAATTGGGTCAAAAAGCAGATTGAGAGTTAACTGGTTCAAAAAATTTGAAATAATTGAAAAAAGGCAAGAGACTTTACGGAATAATGAAAATGAAGTGGACTTCGGGTTGTTAATAAAATTGCACGAGTCCTCTGTTTCCGACAAGAGGTTAATTTCACAAATGAATCTTTCTCACGAACTTAGTCTTGGCATTGGCTTGAAACATGCTCGGGCGAATGTATTTTATTATCATTTAACGCGTTCGCTGCTAATGTTGAAAGGTGGAACGAGGCAAAGTAGAATATAATGGTAGCCCGGGGCAGAAATCGTGTAGAACAGAACGATGCAGAACAAAGCGTTGATACACGGGGGGGAAAATGGAGTAAAACGAAAGGGGGTCGTAGGAGCGTAGATCAGAATGGAACGCAAATAGGCAAAGAGTAAAATAATACTATATGTTAGAGTCGAGTAACA